GTGCGTCCGTCAGTCCGCCCATCTTACTGCATGTCCATCCGTCCGTCCGTCTATCTAGCGAACACTCCAAGTACCGCCACCTCACATCTTTTCATCAAGTATTCATCATATACTGGTACCGCCATCCAGCGAACATCTCAAGGACCGTTCTCTCGGGTATGTGCCACCGGTGGTTACGCAAGACAACGAGGGACGCTCAAGCCACGCCATAAGGAGTTTCGCCCCTAAAGATTACACCATCTCCCGCTAAAGGGGACCATGTGTGGATGCGAAGCAGAGGGGCGATGGTTCGCTTGAGCCGGAGATGGTGTGCTTTATTGAGGGCTTGTGCTGGCGCTAACGCTGACACCGGCGGCGGCGTTGACGCTGGCGCTCATCGCGGCAATGCGCATGAGAGAACGAAGCGCGCACGCTCCGTCATGTTATACCGTGGAACTACTGTCGCGCCCCCAGCGGAGTATGCAGCCGTCGTCCCACCACCTGTCTCGCTCCATAGAGTAGAGGATTCCTAGAGGAGAGAGAAGGGGAGGGGACGCGTACGCGCTGTGGTGGAGAGGGCGGTGGACGCCGCGGGAAGGACAAGGGAGTGATGGACAGAGCCCCTGCCATAAGATGCTTCGCACCTAAAGGTGCTGCACCATGATTGCAATGATGCATAATGTCAGAATGTCCTTGTGCTTCAATTTAGATGGACATTCAGTGGAACCCAGGGGGTCTAAAATTGATTGCCCCCAATATGATCCTTCTCTCAGCCCGAGTGCTATGAAGCATTCAATCCCATCTATCAATCAGCTGTAGAACAATCCCATGTCCAGAACAAAGAAACACCAAAGTTTCAATGCCATTATCACTCTAGTGCCACATGAGGGTGTTCAATAGAATGGAATTTTCAACGGTGAAGCTGCTTCTTAATTACATGTTGACATGTCAAGTTAAATGGCACACACCATGAGTGATTGTTATTTTAGACGAATCCGCTGTTTCCTTTCATATTGTTTGTAATTGAACCTATATATTTTTAATGCTCATAACAATGTGCTTCTATTGTGCTCACACTTGCCGCTTCACTAAATTCCGTAATACAGTAGATAAAAAAAATGACAGTTCTCACTAGACTTCGAATGCACTTGAAACAGATGAAAAATTGGCTTATTAGAATGCAGTTAAGTCAAATGCCAGTCCTTTGTTAAAAAAAAATTTTTCATTAACTTGAGACTATGTACAACTCAGCACAAGGAAAATAGCTATGACTTATCATTTGACATGTTTTTTTCTCCTTTTCTTTTTCATTTCAGGTGACATAATCACAACACTACCTGTTGGTGCCACAATCAATGTTACATGGCATTTGGCATATCCACATAAGGTGAGTGCAAAAAAATATGCCAACTTGACAAAATTGTGAGCAGTGTGCATTGTCCATTATGAAGTCCTAGAGGAATGTGCAGCATACAAGGAACCGAATATCGTGTCGGAAAATTTTTTCTGCTACGTGAGACTCTTGAGCTCTGCACAATTTCAAGCACAAAGGCAGCTGGATTACATATGAAATGCAAGAGAACAATAACAGCGCCACATTTTGAGTAGCAGATAAAAATTATAAAAATGATGACATGGCTGTACTTGAAGCTTGCTGAAACAATGACCATATATACATCAAGAAAGCAAGAGGTCGCACATAAAAGTATGCAAGCCAGGAACAAAAAAAACAATGTGATGGTGACACTTAAACCCAATCTGCAGCAGAATCACTCGTCAAAATCATGCAACAATGCCCCTTGCTGATTATTTAAACTTAAAGCCATAATTTTGAGACATCACAAAAGGGACATTTTTTGTTTCCTCAGTATACAGTGTTAGCACTCTACACGCAGCAGAGTCGGACAACACGTTCAAAATGTTTTACTTTGATTTTAAAGCTTTTGTCGCTGAGAATCTGCAAGTCAGCCCCACCACTATAGACACTATCCCAATTAGTGAACGCAGTGCCCCCAAGTTGGCGAAATCTGCATCCTGTATGAAGCCCAAATGAAGCACAGAAATCACAGACTGTGCGGCTGGATACAATTCACTCATTGTCTTTTGTGTGCACCATGAGCAGATGGCAGACTTGCAGCTAGTATGTCACGAATTGCAGTCTCCCGATGATGTCACACTGCTATGTCACAGAGAAGCCAGCCTCGCGATATCAGAACCAAAACTTCTTTAAAGGCAACGGTATTGTAATATATACAATGCATCTCCAGGACCATAATACTATTTTTAGTATCTTCAAAACTGATGTTTTCATTTAGAACAACAATCCAAAGATAATTAATATTCGTGTCAGTACTTCCTCAGAGAAAAAGATGAAGAATAGGAACCTGATGACTTTTTTCTGATAAAGAAGTGTGCCATATAATTATTTTTACAGTAGTTTTTTTGTGACCATATGAATTATATGTATTCAGTGCAGTGCTTTCTGCCATAAACATATAAATATGAAAGTCATGGATCAGTGTATAGTGTCAATGAAATACCTCACGTAAAAAGGGGGGTTTAAGATGGACACAGAACAAAACATCACAGCATATCCACAGAGTAAATGATGATGAGTAGTGCAAAGTGTGCGTCCATGTGTCTGAACAGAGAGAATCACGGACGAATGCACGGATGGACAGACGGACGGATGGTTGGACGGATGGATGGATATACGGATGTAACCAGGAACGAACAGATGGGAGGGTGGATACACAGACAGACAGACGGACAGAAGCATGGATGGATGAATGGACGAAAGCACGGACGAACGCATGGACAGATAAACGGAAGCACGGACGGAAAGACGGACTCACGGAGAGACGGACGTACAGAAGCATGAACGGATGGACACACGGACGGATGCTTCGCCCAACTAATCATTCACTCCGTGGATATGCTGTGATAACCACTTATTATTCCAAAGGACATATACATACATCACCATCTATTAAGCAACTCATAAATTAGAGGTGACTATTACTATTGCTACTACTACTAGGAGGAAACGACCCACAGCGTCAGATGCTTCACCCTTAAAATTACGTGAAATGTTGCTGTAAGCAGCAGTGTTATTCAAGATGCGCTTTACCTGGCTATATATGGCTGTTTTATTCTGACAAGTATTACGGCCACTTTGGTGTGATGCAAGCACTCAAATCTTCTGAGCAGTCCTCGTTCGTACATTTATCCTAATTTCATTTTCTGTCTTGCAGGGGGGCTTCAAATTAGAATTGCTTGATGCTGAGGAGAAGCACTTACAAGATCTGACACCATCTTCAGAATTCCTTGGCTTGGGTGATGCTACGTATGTGCTCTCTTATTGATATAATCTTGAATAAGCATGCAGCTGACAGTATAATATAACTGATTGACTGATTAATTGATTGACTGACTTACTGACTGATCATTCAGCCAGTCAGTTCCTTTGTGATGCTCATGGACAATAGTCAGGACTGTGATGAGACAATGAATTTTGGGCACTTTTTAAGCCTGTTTCTGGCATGGCTTGCAGTGGTGAAAATGCTTCATTGTTTGGTGTTTCAGTAATACTCAAAGTGATGACACATATACTGTGTGCAGCACGTACAGAAACCATTGTTTCCAAATGTGTGTGACGAAGGCTGACTGTGCTTACTGCAGTTAATGGTACCGATAATTTCCCGTCTTTGCCTTTGACACTTTCAGGGCGCAGAGCTCAACTGTTCGTCTTCCCGGGTCAGTGGCCTGTCGGGGCTGTTCAATTCGCCTCCTGCGGCAGGCGTCAGAGTGGGGTGGAAAATACCTGTTCTGGAGTTGTGCCGACGTTGACTTGGTTCCAGGTACGGCAGTATTTTCTGTACCTTTCCTAGCCTATCACCTCAAACTCATTACCTCAAACGACACATTTTACTCTGGGCAAAGGCTGCTTGATGGCAAACGTTTGAAATATCCGCCTATGAACTATGCAGTGCCAGAATTCAACGTCATCTGCTCTGGCCATGGGAGAATCGATGGCGGCAGGTGCCACTGTGACCATCTCTACTCCGGCAACGTGTGCCAGTACAAAGGTGAGATGAAGTTTCTTTCAAATACGTTGCAATTGTGTTCAAAACTCAGTATGTGAAACTTTTGTAATTTATGTGCAGTCTGCACAGGCAGATTGTCATGACAGTTTTATGAATGCATGCTCCTTATCATACATTTGTGAGTTTCACCATAAAAACCTCATGAATACTAATGCCTATTTATTGATAATTTTACATTCTTATGGTGATCACTAGTGCAATTCTCTGCAACCCAGGAAAAAAGACAGTCAGCAAAGCCCACCGTAAAAACACTATAGCAGCACCCTTTCTACGTTTGTTATCATCAACAAGTATTAGCAATTACAATCCAACTTATGCCAGCACATACAAACTTGCCCACTATAAACTGAATTCTGCAAAAGTTATCCCTTGAAGTGAGTGATAGCCTGCTACTTTAGTGCATCTACAAAACACTTATTGTGCTGCGTTAAGTTGACAAGCCCCACAAAACACCAATTGTGTTAAGCTAACAAGCCTCAGTGATTTATTTGTGTACATTGTTTTTACAACTTATGCCGCGGCGCTGCTGCTGTACATATGCTGTTTGAAGCCCCGGCTAATGCTGCTCAAATGCCGATTTCACAATACACACAATAAACCTCATTTTAACAAAGTTGCATTTTACACGAAAAATAAGTTTGTTGTATCCAAAAATTCGTTATAAAGATTTATTTCTAATACTTTATCTACTGCAAGACCATTTTTCAATTACTTCGTTATAACCAATATTTTGTTATATCCGGGTTCGTTATATGGAGGTTTGAGTGTAACTGTACGTACTTTGACGCAGATGAGTGCTGGATTGACCCGGATTGTGGACCTCATGGGCGCTGCGTGAACATTGACGCTACTTCATACCCCCGAACGCAGTGTTTTTGCGAGATGGGCTGGTTTGGAGAAGGATGCCTAAAACGTAAGTTTACTTGTTCAATATTTAAGTACAAACAATGACAGAAAATGTATGTTGGCAACATATATGAGCGAGTGTTTAGGTGTGCTAGAGATGTCACCTTATCTGCTCTAATAGCTTATTTTATAACCAGCGAGCAAAGTTTAAGATTGAACTTAATGGTCGACTATAATTAAATTTCTTTTGTCTGTACTGGTTATAAATGCCCAATACGATCAACTAAACATGAAGCATGAAGCAGAACATTTTTCAAGCTGACAGTTAAAAAAAAGGTATGCAGTGGTCTAATAGCACGTACAAGCTATCCGTAAAAATACCATCTAGATAAAATGTACACCTATACTTAATGTTGAAGACATGCACAGTTAATGAGCAGCCTACTATATTTACTAGCACAATATACTATCATTGATTATTCTTAGTTGCACACAGTTCTTATGAGAAGGTAATGCCTGTATAGTACTAGTAGTACTATGCTTCTGCATTACTCCATTAAGCTTCACATGCTACAGAAATGCTCTTACAAAAACTTGACACTAAGTTTTCCCATTTATGTTAGCTATGTCACACTTCTGATAAAATTGGTGTATCACTTATTTCCACAGTCCTGCTCTCTGAATTAAGAACTAGGGAATAAATGAAGCATGTGAATTCTCACTTCAACCTATGTCCGTGTAGAAACTTTATTGTAAGCTTACACAATAAGCTTCATTACACATATGCCAAGGTCTATGCATATTCAGTTATGTACACCCCAAATAAGCCCCCGGCAAGCACCAGCGCTAACAACAAGAGCAAAAAGTGATTAACCATAAGAAAAGTGCTATACTTTCAGCTAACATCTCGCAGTTAAATTTTCACGACTTATAATATACGAGCATACATTACCATTTTTTTTATGCTTGCTTGTGTGTGCAAATACTACAGAATGTAACGCCGTTAACTACAACACGATCCTCAACCTAAAAAAATGAACGATTTTCAGGTTTCAGTGCGTCGGAGAAATTGACAGACTCTTGTTATGGCTTAAAATGTGACCTCATATCCATCACCATGATCACAAACTTGACACCATGATCGTCATCATCATCATACCCCCTCCCCACAGCCCCAAAAATGTTTTGTTCCGTGCTATTCAATAAACATCCTTTACACACTGTACAACCAATATGACTGTCATTCATAAAGACCCCACACATCGCATAGACTTCGAATGCTATTCTAGTGTGTCAGTTTTAGCTGTGTCGCCAGATTTTGTCTAGTCTGCATTTCGAGACGTAGCTGCTCTTTGGCCTCGTAAGATATAGCAAGATGATGGGTTTGATCAATACAGAGATATCTTGCAGCATGCAGGACAGAAAACTGCCAGCTAATTGTGTATTTGGTGAAATTACACAAACCATTTCAAGAAAACAAAGACAACTCGTCATTGTTGCAGTCTTGGTTTTGTACCTCAATCTGAATGATGTGCATGTCACTGCTGAGAAAATATTGCTGCATTAAAGTTTACGTCACAGAGGAGTAATCACAACGAATAATTCTAGGTGTTGCCGGCAATGAATCTTTACTGATTAGTCCTAATTTGACAAAATGCCTCATTGCCACAAAGAATCTCATTCATTGAGACAAAGTGTTAGATTGAACAACATTAGTAATATATTATCTCAATCTGTAAGCCTTCTTTGTGCTTCTTCTCTGTCAACAGAGTCACCAATCACCCGTGAAGGCCTGAAGTGGTCAGCATATCGAAGCAAGAAACTCTCCGACACATTCAGCTTGTACTGGAAAATTCTACCAGTAAGTGTTGCCTTTCTGGGCTATGAAGATGTACAGAATTTTCATGCATAGCAGAATGCAAATTAGAAATATTTATGCACTGTTTGATAACAGTAACGCCTCATGTCATCAGATCAAAAATTTAATTCCGTTCCGTGTATGCTTTAGATATACAAGTGCACTGCTTCATTAGCCTGACAGCATATGGTAGCATGCATCAAAAACAAGAATGACACAGAAACGCTAGAATAGACTAGGTCAGAAACATAATAACGAGTGCAGTTTTTTGCACTGCTGCGGGATGGGGAAAAAGTGTCAATTAGAAAGTGATAGTGCTATAGCTTTGCAAATCAACAACTGCACTGTATGTTTCTTATATTACGCAGTGTCAGTTACAGAATTTATATTACCATATTTGATGTTCATAAGCAAAAAACGCCAGGCCTGTGTAGAAGGCGCAGCACAGTCACAGTGAAAGCTGGAAGAGCAGCTTTAAAGAGCCTTTTCTAAACACTCATTGAGTAAACTGCTGCAAGCACACTGCAGCATTAATAATAAATAATTTAGGGTAGTGGGCCGGCATTCACTATGCTATTTTTCGTCATTCTTCTGGTATTTGCTAAACTATTGCAAGGAATTATGCCACTTGTTCGTGCAGTGGATGACGACAATGAGGAATTATGCCTGATGTGGGTATGCACTGCAGTTAATACCTGAACAAAAACAAGCTTTTGTAACGGGTTCGAGCATTGGACAGCCCACTCATTGCACTATTTGTATTGTGCGACGACTGCTTGTTCTTTCGCTGTTTTAAAATGCTTTATAAGTCGTATTAACACAATTGCTTTTTTGACATCAAGCCTGCCTAAGGTAAGTTTACGAACAAGCCCCGAGCACCGGCGTAGCTCAGTGGTAGAATACTCGGCTGGCACCCAGTGGACCTGGCGAGCTCCACTGTGTCATTGGTGCTAGTTTTTTTTTTTTTTTTTTTCTAATTTCGCGCATTGTCGTTACGAACACCAACGGCGCCGGCAGCGGGGGTGGCGGCGGCGGACAACTAAGGCGCTGCGCGAGGTCCGAGTTGTGATTTCATAACAGCTTTAGCTGTAAAACGGGAGGACGTTGCTACAGAAACCCCAAAGACGTGTCGCATGCAGAAGCTCCAAACTAAACAAGAAGCAACGACAACTCACACTTTTCTATGGCAATAGAAGAATGAAAGTTTCTATGTGCAGGAACACTTTCAACATCAAAAATTACAAAGAGGCGGTTCAAGAATTAGAATCTGCTCTACTCTGCATATTACTTTTGAAGCGTTAGTATGAAGGCTTCATGCGACAGTGAAGAAAAAAGAGCTTGACATAGAACCGTGCCTGCAATTGCATTGCTGAATTACGTCATCTGACAACTTCTAAATGACACATCAAACAGCAGTATTCACTCAACTAAGGTGCCAAAACGTTTGCCTGCTTAATGAAGGTATTATTACTATGGTATAGTCGGATACAATTCAATAATTCTCTTGACGCCCTGTGCAGATGAACATAGTGCGTTAGCCAATCGCCTTGACGACTAAAAAATAGTCTCGTTCATGTACTCAGCAATGCTCTTCAAAGGCGGGGTTAACGCCAGCCCAGATCGTGACGTCAGTATGAAAGGGGCGCTGACTAGTCTAGGCTTGTATAAATCCACCTCGATAAAGGATACGCCACTGAATTACAAAGTTGCATCTAACCATATTATATGTGTGCTTAAAATTAACATAGGTGCTTCTTCCAGGTATCACAAGTAAGCCAGTGCTTTTAAATAAATGAGTAATCATTCAACGAAGAGCCACTTCTGTATATTAAATGTCACAATGCTTTGCTTTTTCTAATGTTCATATACTAATTATTTTAGCTATTATGAAAGAGCGCAGGACAAAAAGCAGGCAGATATTCATACGTAGTGGTAATGACCGCTGAAGTCGAAAAATATTATGCAAAACCACTAAATGAAAAAATCAAGACAAAGAAAAGCAAAAACAAATGTTTTGATGACTTCCTAGTTTTGTAATAACATGATTAACTTCTCTAGTGCTGTATGAAAATTTGTTACCACTCTGCTAAAAAATAAACTTTTACATTACAGCAAAGCTCAGAAATCGAGATGGTCATGAAAGTCAAGGGCACGTCTTATGCTGCAGTTGGATGGAGGCCCAAGGACACCACAAATGCTTGCAAAGCTTTTCCATCTTTGCCAATCCAAGAAAAGCGCTCAAAGCGTCAGGCTCCTGTCGACACACATTATGACGATTATGCAGACGAGGAGTCCAGTGAACCAGCCCAAAAGCAAGAGCCCCAACCAACACCAGAGCCAGCTCCTGAACCAACCCCTGAGCCAACTGCTGAACCAACACCAGAACCAGCAGCGTCTAATGTGAAGGAGCATCCGGCTACACCCGAGCCCGCGCCTAAGCCAGAGCCTGAACCAGCCCCAGAACCAACTCCAGAGCCTGAGCCCACATCGTCATCACAACAGGAGGCCGAGTCGGCAGAGAGTCCAGTGCACAAACCCGCTCCAGAACCTACACCAGAACCTGCCCCAGAACCAACTGCAGAACCGACTCCTAAGCCTGAACCTCGATCAGAACCAGAAGGTACACCAAAACCAGAGCCAGAGCCGGCTGCAGAGCCAAGCCCTGAGCCAGCACCAGAGCCAGCTGCTGAGCCATCCCCAGAACCATCCCCAGAGCCGGCCCCTGAACCGGCACCAGAGCCTGCACCAGAGCCAGCACCTGAGCCGGCACCAGAACCTAAAGCTGAACCAACACCACAACCTGAACCGGAGCCAGAGCCCTCTGCAGAGCCAAAGCCAGAACCAGAGCCCAAACCAGAACCAGAGCCAGCACCGAAGCCAGAACCAGAACCTAAGCCAGAGCCAGAACCAAAGCCAGGAGCCAAGGGGTCAGCGAAAGCACCAGGTGGAAAAGCTGAAGGCCGTAGCCTGAACGTGGGTACGGGTCGATACCCTCCAGTCGGGCCTTACACACCGCGCGCAGACTTCCATCCGATGGATTGCACAGACATCATAGTGGGAGCAGCGAGGGGAAACCTGAGCCGTGTTCAGGATATGTACACTCGAGACCGGTCCACTCCACGTACAGACGCATTCTATGGCGGTAAAGACGATCTCTCGGCTGCATTTGCATACGAAGAGGATGGCACAACTGTAGTCTTCTTTCGCAAGCCACTGGCAGGTGAGTGATAGCCTTTGACAGTCTATGATGCACATAACCTGAGATGGACACTTAACCAGGCAGATGCTTAATTTGTATACATTCACCTATGAGTCATTTGACAGTGAGTACAAAAAGCTAACTGTGGTGCATACCACTTTTGTTAACAACCTGTTTTTTATGAGTATGATTGCATTATCGCAACTGTTAACATATCAGGAATAGGAAAACTTGAACAGCTTTTTGAGCTTTACTTTTATAGCATAAAAATTTTGGTTTCAGCACAGAATATTTTTAATTTCCTCTCCGAATTTGCACAAGAAAAAGATGCTCTTGTAGCTGTAAATTCTGACTTTGGCACAGCTAAATTAAAACAGGACACTCCAAATTTATAGAAGCTCAACCAAGTGACTACAATTGTTACTTTGTTCATTCCTTTTTGCAGTAGCACAGGAATTTATAGACCCAACTAATGAGTATGTAAAAGGCTACAACACTGCATTTTCTAGTGCCTTCAGGTACCTTGAAGTCTCTGTAGAGCTAGAAATTTACAGATTTCCCAATCTAACTAAAAAAACTCCCAAGCATTTCCCCGAGGGTGAACATGGTTAAGTGCGAATGCACGGGGTGATGCTATGAGGGGTAGTAAAGTTAAAATTCGTTGGCATTCGCCAGTGAGGTAACGTAAACTCCTCGTGTGATCAAATTGCGATTCCCAGGAACCATTACACCATAAAGGCATCATAGTGTGATTAATAAATATAATAGTGCGAATTAATAAATACCCCTCATAGCATCACCCCGTGCATTCGCACTTAACCATGTTCACCCTCAGGGAAATGCTTGGGAGGGGGATGCGTGCAGCGGCATTAAAGATATAAGGCGCGTTACTGACACCGATATCAGCGTCGCGTCCGTGGCTTATTCGGTAGAGCGGCGCGCTGCGGCCCGCCAAGTCCTCTTTCTTTTAAAGATAGAGAGAAGACTGCGGACGCCGCCGACGGCGGTGGATGGTTTGGGGTCGCTTATAAAGTGTATTCACACTTAAAAAATTGCCTTTCCCTGGCCAATACCTTTATGTAACAGGGCATAAAACCTAGATGTAACAGGGCGTAAAACTTGAAGAGACTACACAGACAGAGGGTAAAGAGCACCAACTTCCAAATGTTCCATGTGCTGTTACATATGTTGAAATTAACCAACTAGCCCAGAAAGCAACCATCCTTACCGATTTAGGTTCATTGTTGTTATCAACTCCAATTCACGAAGCTTTTATGCCACTGAACTCTTTAAGAGGGTGCTTTCTCAACATGTTCAAAAAATGCTGCCGATAGGTGGTTGAGGGTAAGAAAATGCAAGCCAAACATCATAGCACAGAAAATAGCCTGGAATTTACAATTAATTCTTAATACAGACTACACACCATTTTTTTTATTTCTACAAATTAAGCGCTATGTCTGAATGATCATGCCGCATACCTAAACTTCAGGCTACTGGTTCATTTGAGCATCGTGACCTGCATAGTTACTGCAATCTGCACAAGAGGCCACCACATGCCTGCACACGCGCTTACACTTAACGTAACCCATTCATTCTAAAAAAAAAAAGAGAAGTTGGTGGTACTTTTACATATTGTCGCAACGTGAAGACAGAGGTCGTATTGAAGTAGCTGAGAAAGCAGCAGCGGGTCGGTCTTTTTTATTTACTGCGCGCCAGAGCGTTTCTCGTCTTTCTTGTTGTTACCTTCAGCATGAAAGCACGCAGCTGCACGTAAGCACTGTCACCTTCGTCTTTCTCGCAGCACGCACGTGGAAATATCAAATGGCACTTGGCAGTAGTGATTTGCTGTCTCTAATACCAATATCTGGGGTTTCACGTCCCAGAATTACCCGATGATTATGAGATACGTCGAACTGGAGGGCTGCACTAATTTCAACCATCTGGTGTTCTCTAATGTGCGCTGACATCGCGCAGTACATGGGCCTCTGCCATGTTATCTCCATCGAAATGCGATCACCGCAGCCGGGATCGAACCCGTGACCTTCGTGACCAGCAGTTGAGCATGATTTGCTGTCCCTACAAAAAAAATTTCGGCAGATACCACGTACTTTGGGAATCAATGTTATGTGAAGCATGCGGAGGGAAGGTGACTGAGTTGTAATTCTTTTACTGAGCGACACATTATGAAATGATGCTAAACATATGTACAAATGTTGCACGTGCGCACATATGTTGAACAGTTACGGATGTTTATGTACCCAGTTGCTTGCACTTTCACAACGATGACAACAGGAACATGAGGAGTAGCAACACCAGAAGCGATAAGCTTATATAATGCGCTGGTGCTCACGAGGATGGTAGCCCTGGACACTGCTACATAAATCAACTTCATTGAATGGCACATAAGTACAAATGACATTAACCGAACGTCATGGCTGTATCATAGGAGTACATATGTAATGTTTAAAAAATTGGATAGTCGGCACTGACACCAGAATTGACGTTTCACAAACATTAGAGTCTGTTTGAAATGTAGTTCCCAGACGTGTCGTAGCTCTGTGGTAATACTTGATTGCCACACAGAATTCTGGGGTTCGATTGCTGCTGGAACCCTAACACTTATAATTTGCTTTCATCGGGTCAACGCTAGCAATGCCAGCTTTTTCTCAACGCTAACGTATTAAAATGACCGATGTGTGTTCTTGTCGTTCCTGGGTAGATACTAAGTGTCAATCACTAGTGGCACATAGTCGCATACCAGTGGTACTGTCTGGTGTCAAGTGTTTGACGACGTACGCGACGAAATTGTGACATTGTTCATGTCTTGACCAGTGCGTTATATATGTCAAACGATCTTACCATCCCATACTAATTTCGGTTCACGAAAAGTTAAGGGGTGATTACGAGAGCACCCAGACGTGAGCAGCTCGGATGGACGGCAAAAGTGCTTGCAGTACGCAAAGAAGTGCTTCGCATTAAATACCTTCACAAAAACACTTTGAAATGGCACAAATGGCACTGATCATCTTCTTGAAACTGCCTTGCTCTGCCTGCTTGCACATTAGCTGTACTCATGTTCCCTTTCTTTCAATATTGGCAGCTTGTAGCTTCCCATGACCACCTACCTCGTCTGTATCGCCCCGACATAAGAGGAATTCATGCTCAGGCTGATATCGTGGCCTTTTCGCATACACAGGGGTGTACTATTAGTGGCAAAGAAAAAAAAATATGTCGTAGCTTTCGGGCGACCTTAAATTGAAGTTTTAGACTTCGAAGGAACGAGAAATGTTTTCCTTGATTTTACTTCCTGATTGACGAAATAGATTGAGTGCCCTCATCTTGAATCAGGTTTCATCTATACTTTGTTAAAATTATGAGTGGGCTTGACAAGCATGCAATGGCACATGCAGTTTTTTTTTCTCTGGTGAATAGTATCATGCAAAATCGCCCCTAAAGCAAGTTGGCATTACATTTTCATTCACTCTATATACGTAGAGCAACAAAAACAGCGAGTAAGCCTCAAGCATCAACTGCTTGAGCTAGCTTCTGGTTTTGATTTGTGAACCAGTCTGCAACCTTATATCGTAAATACCTGAGGCAGTTGAACTAGTTTAAAATATAGATATGGTATTTAACGAAAGAGTGATCTTGCAAGTAGTTTGTGGGATATTTTGCAAAAGTGCCTCTTTAGCAGCAGAGCCAGCATGCTGCAAATTAAATCTGGTGATTACTCCAAACTTACATCAATAGTCTTAGGCGTCATAATTTATATGCTATATGGATATAACTAAGATTTTCTAACATTAGTGCAACTTGAAGTTTAAAAAATTGTAAAAAAATGTATAATATACAGAAAAGCATGCTATACTAGTGAATCAATGGCAACTAGTTCGAAGAGGTCAACTGGAAAGAACGAAATGTCTAAAATGAGTAGATAAAAATATGCTACTTTAATGCTGTGCAGCCAACGAACTACCAGATCAACCGCTCAAGAATGCACCCACCCTACTGATCTGGGCTCAAGGACAGGAACACGGAAACTACGTGCACTCACCCAAGACGGGCCTAGACGAAGGCCACGCTAGCGTGCTCGACTTTTATCGAACTGATGAACTCAAATACCACGGCCACAAGGACCAAAGGGGAAGTACCGTCATTAACTTTCATGGTGAGTACCTTCCCACATAATGGTTTCATTTTCTTCATTCAATAAAACTCTATGTTGGCAGGCAGACTCAGGCCAAGAGCTGTGATAGACCAAGTTGAAAAGACAGCGCAGCCCAGCATCGAGAAAAACATTTTCAACATGACATCTTTCTCTTGAAGCATGAGATCATTTGCACACAACACAGCACAAAGTGTACTATAATGTGAGCTGGTTGAGCATAAGTAAGAAGAAAGAATAGTTTTCATGTCTTGCTTCTAGTTTTCAAATAAATGTGAATGTGCACTTTCATATCCACAAAAAAAATAAACCATTTTGACTAAAGCATTATATCATTATATGAGTAGTGTCGGAGCACAAAGTCATAACCAGGACACTGAGAAATTTGAACTAGTGTGAATGCCCAACTAGGTTCATTTAGCTTAGTATTCGACTAAGTTCACTTGCAAAAAGAAAGACATGTGAGCCTTTTTTTCTTTAAGTCTTTCTTAGCTTTTTCTGAGTAAACATAGCTGGAAGTTTGCATTCGTCCTTAATGGTTCTACGTTTCCTTTTCGGCAGTTTTACACTTAAATGCTGATTATGAAATAGCAACTGGCCTTTTCTCAAGGCTTTCTTATTTTCAGAATATAAAACATCTGGCTTATTGAGTGCACGTTCGTGAAATAAATCCTGCCGCAATGTGATGTGATGTGGCGTGACATTGCGTGTAATGAGACCTCCATGTGACAGAGGATGTGACATTTCCTTTGCTGGGTGTTTAGCTGTTGTAACGCAATAACAATATGAATATTGATAATGATGTGCTGCTCAATAAAGCTTCTATGGAAAGAACATTGAAGCGTCGTAACAACTAGTGTGGCAACTCAACTGACATCACGCAGGAGAGACGAGACGAGATCCATGCCAGGGAGAGTGGCGCTACCCATCAACGTGTCGGGGTGACAGCTGCACATACACCGCCAGCTGGCTGGCTAATCCACACACAGAGGAAGTGTCCTTCGAAATAAGATCTAAGATTGCTGACCGGTGGACTGGACTTGGGTTTTCGGAGGATCGCCGCATGGTAGGTCTCGGGCAAGCCAAAGCCGTAGCGGCGAAATTTTGGTTTCCATAATGAGGAGTGATAACAAAAGCAGGTCAAAATAATTTTCGGAAAATTCCCCTTTGAACAACCTGTGATAGCACATGAAGCATTTCATTGGGTGATCTTATTACAAGTGTGTGTTTCTATTATGTTTTTATAGGAGCAGATGGCCAACAATAGCTAGTATTAGCCACCATTAGGCAATGCTGGTTTTATGGTCGCAAATATACTAGGCTTCACACTAACTACACTTATTATATTTTTCTGAGATCGTTTGTACAACTACTTTACGTTACGTAGAGAGGTATTAATCCCAATCTCAGTTTAGAGACATCTTTTTGTAGGATTCAAGAAATGCTTTTGAAAATTCAGTCTATTTTCCATAGAATACCCATAATAGTAAAAATTACCATTTTTTGGTTCAAGCTACAGCTTTTGCTTTCCACTACATAAATGTATAAGCAAATTCTACAGTAGACATTATGAAGGAGAAAAATATGAAAGATGTTGTTTAAATTTGGTGGGGAAGAGAAAGTGCACCTTTACATCTAGATATGCCCTCGCAACAATCTGACAGTGAAGTACATAGTCGAAATGCATTCCACAGATAGCACAAGAGCTACCGAACTGTAGTCATTCTTGTTATCAATGTCCATTTTTTTTTTCTCCATTTCAGCCTAACACAGATGCTGTCATTGGATGGGTGGAAAAGAATGGCCGGTTCTTCGTATATGACATGTAAGTGCCTGTTACAAAGTGTTTTAAGTTGCCACAGAAAGCAGTGCAGCAAAGATGGATATGGATATCAACAGGTCCTTATGTTATATTTCTTTTATATTATGATACATTTTCATATTTAATGTGCCAGAACCACTCAGGGACCATGAAGCACAAACTCTAAATGAACTTAGACTATTTGAGATTATATAAAGTAACCATATCAAAGTACAATATTGCTTTTCCCTTTTCGCCTTGTTGAAGTATGGCTACCACAGTCGCAGTCGCAACTCACAACCTCGTGCTGAGGCTCAGTCACTAAAATACCGATGCATGCTCTTTTTTCAGTGTATTGACAACTGTATGCTTTGTACTCATTGAATTAAACAGTGATGAACGGCACTTTTGAGCTCAAGTAAAGCAACACCCTGTATTGCTTAAATTATTTGCAGTGACAGATCACTCATATATACAGACAATCTCAAGATCCTTAAATGAAGTTCTTCACGTTGTATGTAGGTCTACAACCTACTGTAGTTTATAAATTATTGATTTCATATGTCATGAAAGTACACCAACACAAATAATACATGCCACAATGACGAAATATTCCAGTGAGCATTATTAAGATGCCCGTCGACATCTCAGCAGAGGTGCAGTGAGATTTATTTTTTTGGTGGGGGGTGTTGAAGGAGATCGTTGCATTCTGCCAAGCCAAAGCTTCGATGACTTAATTACCTTGATGAAGTTAATAAAAGTCATCGAGCAAGGAATTCCGCTGGAGCCAGAGTATCGAAAACAGTACTTAACTTCTTGTTGAAGTGCTGGATCTAGCGACATACTTAGTGTCGAAGCTTGGGCGTGTTGGTTAAATATTGGAGGAAACACAGCGAGAAAAGAAGGTGCACGTCACCCTTCCTTGTCCACATTTTCTTTTGCACTGTGTCCCCTCCGACACTATACTTGTCTGCTCAAACTTTGATAACATACTGTTTCACATGCAAGGTACAGTCAATGCTCTGATCACGAACATTAATTGCAGGTGGCTGTCAGGCTATAAGGAACCATCAAACGACGTTCGGTCAGACCTGTTCAACGTGAGTGGCGAGCATGCCGATGGCATGACCACGCTTCATTTTGCACGCAAGTTCGACACTGGCGACAAAGTACATGATCTTGCCTTCACCGAAGGCCACTGCCTCCACCTGGTGTTCCCCGTTGCGGGGGGCACCTACAACAGTGTCTTGCGGAAGATTGGCCGTCATGCACAAAATCCGGCTATTTCAAAGACGACACTGTGCCTCCATGGTTGCCGTGAGTCGCCACCAAAGAGGCCTCCACCCCCGTCCTTGCCGCCAGCAGAACAAGGACCAACTGGCAAGTCTTTTTGAAACGACCTAATCTGTTTGTTCGGGTGCATGTAATCAGAGACAATAGTCACAGCTTTTGTGACAAAGTTGCGTGTTATAAACATTAAAGGAAGTAGAACAAGGCCTCTGATGCTAAGAGCCTCCTGTCGCCATGCCCTCGCAACACTTCGCCTTAAGAAATTGAATCGTGCAGTTTTAGTGTCACAACATCACACAATCATGAGGCAAGCCATTGTGTGGTACTCCGGATAATGTCAACAAGAACTCCTTTTAAGTGGACTCATGGGTGCAAAAGTGAGCAGTACAAGCTAGTGACCATTGCTAATAGTATAATGGTAAAATCTAGTAATTCAATTTATCTGACAGCACACAGAGGTGGCCATTGAGCCCCAACTCTCGCTGAATTTGCATATCATCATTCATTGACAATGTAGCGGTGGTATTCTACTAAAAGTTTACCACTCTCGCAAGTTGCAAGAGTTCAAGTTTTATGACCAGCAAATGCATCACCACAGGTTGTGACCAAATAGTGCGTGACCAGTTTTTGTGATTAACAGTTGCGGTGTTTAGCACCAGTCTAAAGTACAGCTTGTCACGACTTTTGTAGCCATATGGCATTCGTTCAGGCTTCTGGCACTCCCCAAGTTTGTGCTGCTCTAATACCGTGTGACTGGCATTTGTGACCAACTACTATGTTCTGCGGTTGTGACCAATATTTGTGACGAACCGCTGTGGTGATGACCAAATGTTGTGGCAAACGGTTGTATTGGTAACCAACAGCTGTGACCAATGGTTTTTGTCAATGGCCGTGACTAATGGTTGTGACCAACAACTGTGACCAGTGGTGGTTCTGATAACTTGACCAACAGTTGTGACCAGGCGTGACTGATGGTTGTGACCATAGTTGTGAGCAGTGGTTGCAGAGTCAGCATGTTGGATAACAAAATCTGCAAGTGACATTTACTGAAACTTGACTCACCGTGGTCACAGGTGCAAGCTCAGATGCGTGCTCCGGCTCCTGGCGCTTTCCCGATTCGTGTGCTGCTGACGACTGTGAGTACACGGCCAGCTGGCACTACCAGGCTTCTTCAGACCAAGTGTTCTTCACCATCACCACACGTAGCAACAAGTGGACAGGCATTGGCTTCTCTACAAACAAGGCCATGGTGGGTGCTGCAAAACCATTACACGTCTCGCTTAACAACCCCAATATACTTATAAATTTAAGGTCTCTCAGATACTGGAGTTTTAATGTTCAACAAAAAGTCATGCCTTCAATTCCTGTTTGAAATGACATCCCTTTTGTGGTGATGGATTACTTAGACTTCACTGTAAGGCGTAGGTGCATAGTACCCTGAAAAATCAGTTTTCTTCTGATATTTGGAACTCCTCAAAACTTTCACCATTCCTATTGGTCAAGATAATTATGATAATTTCTCTAATACACTGTTTCTTGTTGGCTTCAACAAAGTTTTGGCGTGTTAAAGTCAAAGTGCTGTTGAAGCCGAATCGTCCATCATTCGATCACATATATTCTTTGAGGTAAATGAATAAGTAAGTTTCTTTACTGAAGGCATGGCATTTTTACATACGCAAGTGTAAGGCTATAGCACAGTTAAAATTTGTAAAAATGCTCACTCTAATTCGAACTTCACTAGACCACCTTTTCTCCTATGAAACTTTTTTTGTGGTAAACAAACCTTGGAACTAAATGTTACAAGCAAGAAAAAAAATAAGGTTATCCTGCCTCATTACATCTCCTTCTAGTGCGGGACGTTTCGCTCAGAGCCGGCAAATAACCATGTTGTATTTCTCTCCTGCAGCCAAAAACAGATGCCATCCTTGGCTGGGTTGAGGAGACTGGACGTTACTTCATCATGGATGTGTGAGTGGCCCTTGAGTTACCAGCGTGAGACAACAGCATCAAACGGAAGCGCTTTGTCAGTCATGACCGCGACAAATTGTAGCAAAGTACATGTGGCCAAGAACATCAAGAAATTCTAATGTAGTAGATTTGCTCGCAGTTGTTCTCAATAGCATAAGTCACTTGCTCAAGTTGCGGCAAGACTAAAATATTTTCGTGCTTATATAGTACATAATATTCACAATGTCTTACAAAGTGTGTATTTTAGGGCCATAAACGCCTCAGGCATAGTGGGATCAATTTGAATTTGTCATAAATGAGCTAAACATGGTCTGTAGCTACAAGTGAGACAGTCACAGGAAAAATCAGTATATTTGAAGCACTTTGGACAAGTACATGAAATTTCATTGAGACATCACCTATTTGATCACACAACACAGTAAAGAAGTATATGCCTTTTTTTTTTCTCTTCCTGTTTATTGAGTGTCAAATCTGAAGCACAGCTTCCTAAGTGGCACATGTCAATAGCTTCATTGTTTGAAGCGTAGAACTCATGATCTTTCATTCTCTTTTTGTGTGTTTATTTATTTTTCATTTAAAACATGACACTCATTTTTTCTTTCCATTCTTTTCATATCTGTTCTTCTGCTATGTCGCTTTCCAGTTTAATTTAATCTGCTCTAAATAGACTAGCCAACTTATTTCAAAATTTATGATCAAATTGTCGCTTTACAGTTGGATGGAGGGTTACGAGCCTCCTCTGCTGGACCCAGTTCAAGATGTGGCGAACATGTCGGGACACCGCCGTGACGGCCGCACCACGCTGAGCTTTGCGCGACAGCGCTACTCTGACGACGTCGGCTACGACTTGGACTTGGACCAATGCCTGTACTTGGTGTTTCCGACTCACGGTGGCGTCTTCAATGCCGTTTCAAAGAAGATCAGAAAGCACGAGCAGCGGCCCCTCATTTCCGCCGAACCTGTTTGCTTCACAGCTTGCCATCCACAAGGTAAGGAATCAGCTCGAATTATCACTTGACACAGTTCGTCCCGGTTAACTGTGCATGCACAAAGGTTGCATACAAGGTGAATCTTCAAGTAATAGTATAGCAAAAAAATATGGCTGATACTTCCATCATAAAAATTGCCACAGCACAAATGTTAGAAAGGCCTTTACAGAAGTATTTGATTCTTTGTGTCTGAGAGCCTCTCTAATGTCTATTGGTGTTTGGCAGCTATGTATAGCAACATTTGACATGGATGAACCTACAGTGATGCCTAGTGAAACATCTCCTTCCAACAACTAACACCCATGATCATGATTTAACTGTCACGGTGGCTGAAGTTGTTAACATATACTACGTGGTCAGTTGAGGAGAGAAACAGCACAGTGTGTGCTCCCGAGTGTGTGCTCCCTAGATTAGGCAACCTGCATCAGTGGTCATGCTATTACATTTCGTTGAGTTGGGCTCCTGGCCAGGAGCGCCGCTGCAAGAAGAATGAATGTACTTTTTAATGCAGCCTGCTTGACGAAAGAAAGTGTACAAAAAAAAGGTCCCCATGGTATAGTACACAGTAGTTCATAAAAGAAAGCATTGAATAAAAGGGGAGGAAACACATACTAGTGCACACGTGCGAAAACAAATTATCATCCAGAGCAGATGAGCCAGAGTTTGGCGCTGGCTGATAAGTGGTGAGCAGTGTACAAATGCAACAATTAATCAATGCATACACTACCACACTACGCTCCAGCCACATGGAAGAACCGAGTGGTCATGAATTCGATTTCCAGAGATGGAACTTTTTCCACCAGTTTTTTCTTTATCATCTGTTGGTATGCATTTTACTGTCATATTTGTGATAAAAATATGTTAGTGAAGTCTTGGTGGACCCTGGCATGAAACACTATTGGGTTAAAAAAAATTCGGAAGTTTAAAAGTGCAGACAATAGAATACAGCCAGAGCAGCTACGCTTGTCACAAAAAGATAACGGTATGGCAACCCAAGTGAAGAGACAGATCTGTAGCACCACCTGATGACAAATTAAATTACTCTGTGTCAAGTCATTTTAAAAAGCACATTTTTCTGCTAATTTTTAACAGTGATGTAGTTTTTTTTATCTACCCAATCAGTACATTTGTTCCTATAATGAACTACCAATGTAACATGCATATGTACACACCAGTTTATGAAGCAGTCACTATGAGTAAAATATGTGGTGGTGTTGTTCTCAAAGTGTATCACGAGCATTAGTATGAGCTTTGACTACTTTATTGTGCTATGACTTCACTCTGTGATATGTGACATGTTGATCGTCGGATTTGGAAACTCACAAAGTTCACACAGTAATTGTGTAAATACGGTAGATGTATGCAGTGTAGAATGTGTAATTGTAATTGCCTTTCAAAGTACTCTCCATGGTTCTGGTACAGCTGGTACCAGACCACGTCCATCGCCGGGAGGTGGCACTAAGGCCTCAACACCAGCAGAAGACGGAGGCGAAGGCCCAAGCATCACTCCGCCACGGTATACGCCGAAGGGTGGGCCACCGCAAAAGCCGACAACACCTGCACCACCCAGTTTGGAAGAGTACCACCTGCGGTTGCAAGTGCTGGAACCCTGGCAGGCCAGCTATGGCGTGCGTGGATCGCGGCCTTACTCGCTCCTCTCTCAGCAGCTGACTAAAGGGGTGAGCACTATGAATACAACATTTATTAATCCTAGTGGCTCAAGCAAAATGAGCAAACCTACCCTACTTTATTCACTGATCTACCTTTGTGTTGTACACGATGCTATCTCCAATGCTTGCTTCCTGGTATCTAGATCTCGTCCAAATAAAATCGCAAGTGCCTGCTGTAACTGTGTGCTGCCCTCGCAACTCACTTGTACAGTGTTCACAACACATACAGCATACTTAACGAACGGCAAAATTGTTCCATTAATCATTACTTGTTCAGTGTCAGCTGTTGTCAAATTAAGACAAAAGACAAAATGGGAATGTACAACATTAATTTCAGAAATAGACACCTGTTGCTCAGGGTACCTCTTGAAAATAGGGTACAATGCTAAACAACATTATAAGCCATGCTCATGCCTGCCAACTCCGAAAGTGAACAGCATCAAAAAGCAAGCGGATCCTCGACTTGGCAAGCCCGCGAGCACGCGAGGTGGTTCAGACTTCTCAGCCATAGCCTGGCCTCCTGCTCCATCGCAAAGGTGGCGCACTTTACACTTTCATGAACGTCCCAACATTTCACAGCTGTTCCTGTAACTATCAGATGTTAGCTCTCAACTGCCCACTTCCTATGTCTGAAATATGATTAGCTCGCAAAAGCTGACAGGATAGTCGGCATTCCACAGTGCGACACCTCATGTGGCACAGGGCAGTTCTTCATTGTTTCTGTGAATAGTACAGCTGGGAATCTAATTGATTACTGAAGCTCAAAAGCCATTTTCAGCTAGCTCTTCACCTCGAATTCTGATTGTCTGTGGTAAAGCAGGAAGCTCTGAGAGAATGGAAAGGTCTGTCCTGGAGTGGTCGCACTTGCCACCCAGTCTTGTGCCATTAATTCCTACTTTGCATTGAAGTTTCCATAGATATCCATACAACTGCCTGCCCACTTTGGTCATCCAGCAAGTAATTGCGTAGTCTTGTTCACACAAGCCGGACGTTGGTGACGTACATCTCATTTGCTCAGCAAATAGATTATATTACCAAGCTGCAGCATTCTTGTGACCACGATGTCATGCTCTACATACTCAAAGCTTTATGGGGGCAGCAACTGTCATATTTAAACAAGATTAAAGTTTCAAAACACTTGTAGGTTTTTTTATCAAGGGAGTATTTACGAAAAAAGTCAAAAGGGGCCAGATTTGTTAAAATTCAAAAAATTTACGTCATGCCTAGTCATAGTTGTTGATGTATTAATTATCGCTATCGATTTCAGCTGGAACCAGCCCTGAACGAAGTGTCTGAGAAGCACCAGATCAAGCTCAAACGCCTCATAAGGTAAGTTTTGCAAAACAGGATGACAGTGACACAAGTGAAGATAGTTTAAATTGACGATACACGTAAAGTGGCTTTGTGAATTTCATGAACAAAGGCAATAATTCCACACAGCGTCCACTTTTACACCCAGCAGAACTGCCCCACCATTACGCAAAATAGACAGGGCTACGTCAAAACAGACATACGCGCGACGTTATAGACGTTACACCAGTGCTTGAGCCTATCTTAATGAGAAATGATAGCAGAGAGGTACTTAGCGCGTTAAGAGATTTAGTAAAAGCAAAAGTAAGCAACATCTATCCAAATGCAGCTACAAGAAAATTTCTAAAGAACTAAGCATTTTAAGAATATTGTTGGATAATGAACTCTGCATTAAAGTGAGTTATCAATGGCCTACTTTGATTCCCGTGATGGACAGAGTTGCCTGTCAGATAGCCCTTTCAGGTAATAAGCAAATTCAACATATGCCAGCAAATTTTCTTATCCCTATGCTTGGGCGAATATTTAAGCACTTCGAGTATTCGAATCTGTATTACAGTATTCAAATCTACTTTGATTGAAATTTGAATTATTGGATTGGAAACTTCTGAATATTCAAAATGAACGCATTAGGTGTGTATCAACCACAAGTAACCCCTGTTAAGATAGTTTCACTGCAGTAGATGGATGCTGTACTGTGAATATATTCCAGGAGGAATTCGCAATGCTGCAAAGCCATATTTTTGGATAAATGAACGTATTACCTTCGCATCGATACATTAATAAATGCAATGCATTTATTTGCATACTTCAAGCATTTTTGGATTTTGCAAGCACTTTTGCGTACCAACTGCTCCCGTGGAAGTGCATGCATTCCAATAGCAGATTTGGCTGGAGCGCTCTCGCTCTGAGCAATGCGCTCTATTTGCTATCCGGCCGTGCACTCGTCATCTGCCATTGGAATTCAAATGAAAAAAAAACTATGCCATCTCCCCAAAGTGAATGATGAAGAGTTGGGTGAAGCTTTAATGCTCATCGGTAAAACCGTGAAACATTCGCCCACATATGAACACACACATTAGCCCACACACTATCAGGCGCCGAAGTCCACACCTGTGCTCGACACAACGCCTCACCTTCGCACGCATCGCATTATCACAGAATGCTGCCGTGAGTTGTCAGAGCGACAAACGTTTTGTACTTTTGTAACTGCTCATTTCGTAATTTGTTTTTCATCGTGGCATTGACAGGAGAATCACCAGGAGGAGAATTAGCGGAGCGCATGCGGGTCATTTTTACTAGTCAAGCTGCCGTGGCATTTCAAATTCCCTAAAACTGGCTGCAAACGAAAGAGACTGACAAAAAAGATAGAATTCGGTCTCATATCAAACTAGAGCAGCGTTGGAGTAGAGCGAGAACAAGGGAAGAGAGGGTAAGCGCTTCTATCCGCAGCTCTTTGGCGGCCGCTCCGAGTACTAGTGAGCACAACAGATGGCATAGGAACTTACCCCAAGAGAGAGAAGCTTTGCCCCTAAAATGCCAACTCTACCCTTAGTCATTGCTGTCCCTCCAACAGAAATTCGAATAAGTTCTTCGTCCTATAGTGCGTACTCATTTTCATGACGCCAGGCACTTCTTGAATGTTTCAGATAGCTCACTTTCCCATACATACCTTAGTGGTCATCGCTGAATTCACGTCCGAAACTTGAACGTCCCGATAAATTTCATTCAGGATTTGGACATTGTTGTTCAACCAGACGCAATGTTTTTAAGTAGTAACAACAAAATCTTTAATTCTCAGTATGTGTAGTATTTACATTAGCTAAGGAAAAGTACTTATGGCTCGAGCTGAAACAAGCTAGAGTGTCTTTTGCAGGCGAAGGGCAAGTGCACCACGGTTCTGTGGGTGGAGCTGCCATTTTTTTTCTTAGGTTCTACCCAAGTATAGTTCGAAGCAGTTTTACCTCAACGCGAGCAGCAGTTCGAATCATTCGTCATTTCATAACAATCTACAGAAGGACCACATAAGGCCCAGGTGACATAGAGGAGCCTCAGAACGACTGAGGCACATTTTGCGCTGCTTTCTTTCTGTACAGGGAGCCCGATGGTGTGGTGGCCGAAATGCAGCTGCTGTTGCCAACAGATCGCGATTCTCGGGCAGTAGAGGAGAGCCTTCGCACTGCCCTGTTGCCGGGACAGCTTCTTGGAGGCTTGCGTGTAAACCCAGCATCTCTTCAGCTGCATGTTGGCGATGCACCCGAGTCGCGTGTGCGCCAGTCCTCCCTTCCAGGCAAGTTTATTGCGCAAGCTTTCTACTTTAAGTTTCAAGCGCAGCCCATGCTCTTGTGCACTGACCAGGGTGAGTTAGCAGTACAACGTGAAAAATGACATTGAAGCAACAACTTAATTTTTTGTGCAAGAATAGCAGCATTAGTGGTTGCCATGGTGACTACAACCTTACAACATAGCCGGACGTGTGATTTCTCACCATAATGTATGCTCATGTGCCTATATGCGTATACCCACAGGGTGTTTGGCTAACTTGCACACAGTATATTTTTTTTTTTTTAATTTTGCATGCTCTAAAGTGAAGCTGTAAAAAAATTGGATAGAGCAGTTACCTTGTCATAGATGGAATAATTTCTTATTGTTGAACAAGCATTACAACTTTAGAGTAATTATATTAAAATTAATTTGGCAATCTTCAATAGTTTCAAAGATTGGAGGACTGGCAATTATCTTATCATAGAAGAAACATTCTGACATTTCAGAACAAGTGCTTCAACTTTTATAAAATTGTAAACTTGTATTATTACAAAATTTTTGGTAGACTTAAGTGAAAAGTTCATTAGGCAATCACTGTTGAATACCCGGCTTGGCAGATTGTAAAAGATACCCTGACATGCTGCATACAGCTCAGTACAATTCTTGGCTAAATGCACATGTGCAGCTGTACGTTTGTTTTTAATACCAGATGAAAGTTTGCTGAAACACCCCTGCAATGAACTTGAAAGGGCCAAAATTTAATGCAGGCACAAATGATGGTGGCAGGTTCCTTTAGAACATTTATTACACCCACAGCTACATTTGCACTGCTGTACATCTGTACAGTACTGCAAGTACATTACTGTACATAACAAAATACACCTGACATGAAAGTGGCTTCCTCCTATAGATAATTCGTTATAAACTATATTTGTCATTGATTTTATGGCAATAATACTAATTTACTTTGTATTAATGAGTCATCATTTCATGTTTATCATATTGAGGTTTGGTTACCATGAATGCTCAGCAGTGGTAACAGTGCACACGTTACCAAAAACTCCTGAAGGTTTTCACGAGGGTCATCGCAATGACCTGCATCTCCCGCTCTGCTCCACCAGGTTCCGACTCATCGGGTGAAGAGTCGTCCAGTGAACAGATCAAGCTCTACGCCATAGTTGGCGCCGTTGCTGCCCTCGTTTTCCTGCTGCTGGTGCAAGCGGCTTCCATGGCCTGTCGAAAGAAGCTGCGTACCCAGCCCCCTCCGCCCAACAGGGTAAGCAAAGCGATGCTATGTAACCACTTAAGCACCCAAGAAAAAATAATGGTATGGCTGCACACTCGCAGTACTAAACACAGTTTCAAAGTCGAGTCCAGTTAAGACGAGTTTACTAAAATAGTTCAGTTGGGTTATGTGGCTGGCATATTACAGCAGGAGGTCCTAATATAATGACATAAAAGGGGTAAACACAAATGTAGAGCAAGCTTATTTGAAAGAGTGAACTATATATAATGAGTAAGCTTGATTAAATTCATATTGAAGTGAATACATAACTTAATGGTAATACCATATCAGTATTGAAAGAAATCTCATAGAAATTATGTATCTTTTCATCCACCTTTCTTTCTTCCGATTCACGTAACAGTTACTACCACTAACATCCTTTGTGCTTTCTTTGGCATCACTGTCTGTTGGTTCTCATTAATATTGTTACTACATATTGTGCTACGTTATGCAGCACATGATATGATGTCCGCTGCATTTTCTGACTTTTTTTTTTCTCTAACTAAATACAGAGCCCCTTTCACTATGGTATATGTGGTACACTCAAACATCATTATAACAAATTCGCATCTTCCACAAAAATAAATTCGTTATATCCGAAAATTCGTTATAAAGGTATATTCCTAACACTGTATGTATTGCCAGACTAATCTTCATTTACTTCGTTATAATCGATATATTGTTATAACTGGGTTCATTATACTGAGGTTTCAGTGTATACGTACATGCTTATTATTTCTATATGAGACTCTATACTTGGGTTATCACATGTAATAAAATGTGCATTCCTACTGGCTGTCCAGGAAAAATTGCTGACAAGCTCTCACTGGAAGGACTACTCCACCACAGCCAGTAGCAACTACAGCTACGAGAACTTTGCCCTGCGGCCCGATGAAGATCTGGGGCCCCCTGCGGGTGCACCGCGTGCTGCCAGCGTCACCTACGACCGGGGCCCCGCCCGCGTGCCACCTCCCGCCACCAACCCATATGCTACTGCCCAGAGGCGGCAGCCGCAGGAGATGAATCCCGACTTCTACTTCATGCCACACCAGCGTCGTTACTCCGGCGAGGTGGTGCGAGTGTTTGTGGACTACAGCAACCCAGAGTACACTGGGGCACCCAAGTGAATGTGCCAGCTGGTGACGAGAACTGAAATGGCCACGGCGAACTGTTCGGTGAACTTGCAGTGCTGCAGTCGCCAAGTGGCCAAGCCAAAGCACGCCTGCGGGTCTATCAGGCATGCCAGTGGTGACGTGTGATTTGACGCCGCAACGACAGCTCTGCCTTTTCGAAGCTCCAGCTTCTCTGTCACAGTCATAGAAAAATCAACGACTACCGAGTGACTTATTTAGGCTGACGAGGCACAGCATTGAGGTGATCTTGCCAAGGTATGCCCGCAGGTTCATCGGGCATGCCTGCACCTGGGTTACAGTGGCAAAGCCATGAGCCATCAAACTACACATTCGCACACAAACAGTGCACCAGCAGATCAGTTGAGTATGGTGCAACTCTTTCTTTCCCTGCATCACACACACCTACAAACTTCACGAACTGTTCACATTGTTACAGCTGCATTTTGATGTGTGTGAGAGGCACTGCAATACTTGCCACTCAAAAGAAGTAATGCCTGCCATTCATACTTGTCAACATCTGTTGCACTATTCAATGTACCTGCAGCTCACTCAAAACCTGTCAACACAAATTTGTGTGGCAGGAAATATTCTCAGGCTTTGCAAACCGCTGGAAACTTCAAGCAGCGAAAGTGCAAGTGTGCTGTTGTGGTAAAGCAGCGATCCCTGGTTTATTTCCAATTTCTGGCTGACGAAGTCAATGTTCATATGAGACGGCATACGAATGTATCAACTCACTACTGCAGCTGCAGAATAACCCCACCCTTTTTTTTTTCGTGTGTGTGACTCACTATCACACTTAACAGCGCAATAGGCTACAGCCTCAAAAACCGCACGGTGCACACTGCCTCAAAGACTGGGGCATAACTCTGCAAGCTGTACTGCAGTTTATTTGCCTGCGGTATTACCACTATTCGCACACGTTAGCTCAGCACGTTAAAACACAATGTATGTGCCAAGAGCAACTGCTGCAGGACTCTTCCGTGCCTCGCAACTGCCAAAAGAGCCAAGCGCCAATAAACTGGCCTCTACAACAAATGCAGAGTCTGAGATGCAGGCTCTGCATCTCAGACTCTGCTACACTCCACAACTGCCTCCGCACAGCACCTGTGAGCAAGGAGGGAACGTCGCATGATGCATGCTTACTCCAAGCAGTTCTGCCAAATTTTAGTGCAAAACTATGTTGCAAAGTCAACAAGCAGCCTCAGGAATGGGTGATAAGCAAATACTAGAAACATCTGCAGGTTAGCATTACAGGCTGAAGCGGTGCATGTTACCAGTGATCTGTATCTGAGGGTACTGGTCACAAACATTGCATGTGCCTAATAATGCATGCAGGTGGCCCGGTGCACGTGACTTTGTAGTCATCATCATTGTGGTTTCATTCTGGTGTATCTTTTAACGAGGTCTTTCACGCTCGCTTGCTTCCAGAGGAGGTGCACTTGTTCTTATTAAGGTCACAGATGGTGCTTGACTGACTAAGTACCGTTTGGCAGGTCATGGTAAGGTCATAAAACCTTTGTAAATAGCAGCCTACATGAATTCCCAGCAGATATGTGCAGCTGGGTATCTTGTGATACACCAAACGCTTGAAAAGAGAAAAATGAGACATCGAATAGTGAAATTCGCTAACCTGGTAACGTACAGACATGCTAGTTCCTCTACTAATCCCTTATTGATCATTCCACAACAGATGGAGCAGTTATACTGGCCAAAATTATTTAAGCAGATAGAAAAGCATATGGGTGCAATTAGTTAAAGTTGACTGATGTGTACTATCAATAGTTGTCAGGATGACACAATGCATATGCAACATGGCTAAGCATGAATTTTGGAAACTATATGGGTGGTACATGATGTTTCATTTACAACAGTTTTAACTAAATGGAAATTTTGACTTTTCTGTCCTAAACTTTGCAATAATTGCCTGCATCTGAAAGGGAATGCATATTGCTCATTTCACATAGATGAAGATTCAGTTGAGAAATCCTGCTTCATTTACAAGTCTTGATTTATATGCTGAACAAGTTGAAGACAGCTTTTTGACTGCAGTCAAGGCATGTCCGAGGAAAATGGTATTGGTTCTAGTGGCTTCTGGGTATGGCCAAAAATTCTGTACCAATAAAGGTGTGGAAACAGAGGCCTTCTTGTCGTGACGCTCCTGATTGTAGTTTCACCAATAAACATGACATCACAGCACGCAAGAAAGGCCTTGCAGCATGAGTATAGCCTGGGGAGGGGAGGGGGATGCAACCCTGCCATCCTAAAGCTTTTCAGTTTTGCCTGTATATATTTATACACACACTCATAGAAATGCCCACATGAACATGCATAAAGTACGATTGAACCCCCCTTCCACCCCCCCCCCCCCCCGAGAAAAATTATTTTGACTACACCTCTTTCTTGCACTTAAGTGTGAGTTACTCGGCCAGAGGCAGTGTTAGCGGGGCGTACGGGGGGGGGGGGGGGGGGCGCTGGAGTCCCCCTGAGCTCCCAACCCACACCCCTAAGAGGTAACACAGTCAAAAGAGAATGCATGAGTTACCCATTTTCCTGCCCCTCCCTCCCAAACAATTTCACCTGTTGAGGGTGCCACTCAGTGACAAAAATCCTGGCGCCGCCCCTGTACTCGGCATAGTTAGACACCCACTATGATATAAATTATACTGAGAATGATTATGCTAGTGAATAGTGACGATATTTGCTTTCCGAACAATGACTTGTTAGTATAGTACTAGAATCTAGTTCACTGTAGTAATAGAGTGGTACTCGTAAGGGCATAGCGAGGGGGTGTCACACTAAGCCTGTGCCCCCCCCCCCCTCCTTCCAAAACAAAACATTTTTTTTTTCTGCCATGGCACAGAGAGCGAAAAATGACCGCTTCGGGGTGGTTTCCCCCTCTTTTCTCGGAAAAAAAAAAATTCTGGCTACGCGCCTGGTACTAACTAGTGCAAGGGGGCAGGCCCTTTAATTTCGATAAATGTCCTCCTTTTGCGTCTCTGCCCGAACGATACCCCGGAGCCTCGCAAAGCTGATCAATCATTAAGTACGCACCAGTCTCTCAACGCCCGAACTACCTCATCCTAATGACTCGCAAGGTTGAAAAGACAGGCGCCGTTCGTTAAGTCATGACTGCGAGAATCACGGCAACTGCACCTGCTGAAGTTGTATTCTCTGTACGTGCAGTGCGCATGTCTGTCCAACATTGAGTTGACAGGACGGGCGCACGAAAGAAGTAAAAAGATTGAATTTTTCATACCAGTAACGACGGAGCGAGTGCCAGGCGGTGGCGGGAAACTTTTGGTCGTGGCTTCCCGCGTGTAAGCTGCGAGCCAGACCAGTGAACGCCAGACGTTACCGAGATGTTCTACCTCGATCCAGAAATCTAAGCTGATTTGAAGGACAAAACTGACTAAAAATACATTTTTTAATGTTCATGGCGCCATATGCCAGCATTCTTGACAAATGTATCCACGAAGTCGTGAGTTCTTGTGTGCAACTGTGTGCAACGGAAAGCATCCAAAAATGGCGCCATTAAGACAACCTCATCACAGCCTCCTAGATTTTCCTTGCCTGCCGGATGAGCGCGAAACGCCCGTCATCTATGGCAGCGCTACCTACGTAGGAATACGGGGTCTTCGTACTTGGCCTTTGAGATAAGCAGTTTTGGCGTTTGCTAAATTCGGAGGCTGTTTCTTGTATTACAGTGTACTAGAATAGTGGAACCCCTATTCTAGTACACTGTACTTGTATTGAAGGGGTTGCCTGCAGAATGAGCACAAAACGCCTGTCATCTATGGCGGCGTCACTTACGTAGGGTTAGTTATAATTACGTTTAAGCCTTTTTAAAACTTTTTTAAGTTTTTTTTTTGCACATAAGCTCTAAAACTGTAAAAACATGTTTGAAGACACTCCCTACTTAAGTGGCGTTATCACCATAGTTCCGACGACGGCCGCTTCCAGAGTGACCACCGAGAATCCGGCAGGCAAGAGAAATCTAGGAGGCTGGGAACCTGTGACCACATCTGCTCGTACGGCGCAAATTTTGAAAAAAAAAAAATGTAGCGTTTGCTTTGTTGTAAAGGACGCTTGATTGCATTTATATTGATAATAATTTGAAATTGTACTATATTGAACGAGATATTTTTTTTTTAATAGTTCAGTTTTTGGTTTCACAAAGTCGGGATAGTCTCTAAAGTTCGCACGCGAAAATTTGTTCATATACGAATTTCCGCCGTTATTGTACTCACCTTTGCGCTCGTGCGTTTCGCAATCTTTACCGTTTCGGGCGGCTCACAGCTATATTCTGTTTTGCACACGCGCTGAGGATGCATCAATGCCTTGGTTTCCAGCAAATCCGCGCGAGAAGTGAATGTTCTTGGGAAGCAGTACCTGGAAGTGCGCACTCATCACACCGAGACGCCGCCAGTGAGTACAGGTGCAGCCAAATTTGGAAGAGCTCCGCGAAATTTCTTTTACCGCGAAAGCTGTATAGAAAACGAAAATACCGTTCGGCAGCGGTGTCACGGCCGTCTCCATTGAGATGTGGCTATAAAAGAGAAAAGAGAAAAGTGAGCCCCATAACTGTCTGCATCAGGGTGCGACACCTCAACAGTAGCTCACATGGGATGGGGGTGAGGAGGGATTAAAAGGATAGGATTAAAGGTATACATATACAGAGAGAGATGCGCTGAGCCAGCGAGCGAGGATATGTCGAGGGGATAGGAGAGGTAGGAAAGATGGAAAGAGGAGTCCGAGGACGGGGCACCACTTGCGAGAGCTCTTGTCGGCGTCAAGAGATGGCGTAGGGCAAGTCCAGTAGGTCAGGGGTACGCTGTCGTCGGAGATCGGCGTCAGGAAATGACGTAGAGCCAGCCCAGTCGGCCAGATCTACGCTGACGTCGGAGATCGCGAGGGCACAACCGGCCGGCACGGGATCCAGCGAGCGAGTTCATTGGCAGTGCTTTCATTTACGTTGTCTACAGCATCGTACCCAAGCCTGCGTGCCATTGGCCGCGTTGTGAGTGACGTCGTCCACCCCGTCGCAGCCGTAACGCCGAGCACGCGACTTTCTTCCGAAAGGTTCCACATGCCACGGATCCTACGAGCGAGCGGAAACGTGTGGGCAGACGCGCAGCCAGAATTTTTTTTTTGTCAGGGGGGCGGAGACTACCTACTTAAAATGGTCATTTTTCACTCCCTACGCCATGACGAAAGAATTCCGGGGGGGGGGGGGGGGGGGGACCAGGGGCCCAGGCTACGCCCCTGCGTGAGATAGCTCGCATTCGCCGGACCAATGCTGCAGTCCGGGCACGGAAAAAAAAGCGCCATGCCTGCGCGGGACGCACAGTCAAAGCGAAAGCTGGAAGAGCGGCGTTTCAGAGCCTTTCTAAACACTATTTTTTATAAGCACTATTCGGGTAAGTGCTACAGGCACACTTGCAGTGTGCCCACGTACTACGCTATAAGTCATAATCACAATGTCTGTGCAAGCTTTCGCCCTGCCATCCGTCGTCATTCTTCGGAGAAGTGTGACACCCGCTACGCACTCGCAACGAATTTTGTGAGTTTTTTCCGATGCCATGGTTTACGATGACGAAGAATTGTGCCTGGCGCTATTGTAATGGGTTGTACCATTCGACGACCAACTCGTTACGCAATTTGCATTGTGTGACGTCTGGCTGTTTCTTTGCTGTTCTTAAACGCTTTATCACGATCATCGTGGTTCCGATTTCTTGTTCCTGGTGCGAAGGATACGCACCAGGAACTGTTCATCCCGACTTGACGGCAAGTGAAACTTTCAATGCCGTTCTCTCGAAAGCAGTACTTTTCATCATAAAAAGATCATTTTTCTATGTAATCACTGGATTTAACAGCTAGATGGGGCCCGAAGTCCTCGCCCAAATGTGCACCCGTGGAGGGTGCGGGGGGCGAATATCTGTGTCGAGCGCACCCTTCCTCCCAGAGTGATCCCTCGCAAGTTCGCAATATTTTCTTTTATTTTTTACAATACAATCGTATCTACTATGAGTGGCAAAACGTAAAGATTTACAAATCGCTCAATAAACGCGCACAAATCATGTCACAGCATTATCACTGCGAAACAGCGCACGCGGACTGGTTCAAAGACCTCATAAAAATCTTTTCGAGCATCCATACGTGCGCAGGCTACTTCTGCAAACCACCGTGTCTTCACTTTCCGTGAAATCCACAGAAAAAGCGTTCGCTGTACGATTCCACATGGTTGCTGCGGCACGGGGCAACCAGTGCCACGAAGCGTGCGCAGAGATGTGTGGCTCGAGCGTGGCCCTCAGACGTTGACCTCAGCCGCGTGCGTCGAGCGGGTGGGCACGCTGGCGTCGGTGATGGTCTGCTCCTGCATCTTGCTGATGAGGACGCGGTTGGCCCGCAGCGGAGACAGTGGCACGATGGACAGGCTGATCTCGGCCTTGCCCACTCCCAGCATCTGGAGGACCTGTTCGACGTTCAGCGTCTCCAGGGCCGTGCCGTCCACCATGGTGACGACGTCGCCCGGGTACAGGGAGCCCCTGCCCGACACGGTGACGTCGGCGCGCTGTGCGCCAAACAACACGACGCTCTTGGTGGCCGGCCTAGTTGGGACGAATTCATCTGTTAGCCACTTTGCGCGAAACAAAAGACGAAGGAAGCAGCACACGCGGACGAGCGCGCGCTCGTTCGTAGTGTAGTGCTTCCTTAATTTTTTTTTGTCCGTGTGTACCCTTTATGTTGTCTTATTTCGCGCTAAGTGGCTAATAGATAAGATGGACTACATCTAAGGTGAACACTGTACTATACTCGGTTACTCAAGATAGATGGATACATGTCAAAATAGTGGTGTGTCTATATGAAACGATCTGTTGCTAGCGAAGTTGGACAGGTAACTTGAAAAGGCGGCTGAACTGTAGTGAAGTCTTGAGAGTTTTCAGGTTCGTCGATGGCTACGTGGTAATTTTCAAGTGTGAATAAGCTAAGGCGTAACCAAGACTTCATCAAATGTCTTTTCTGCCTAAATGAGTGTCCGAGTTCACTCGTTCTCATCCATGAAGTGTCATGTCAGTCAGGCGCGTGGCCCATAAACTTTAGGGAAGGGGAGGGGGAGGCACCACCTTGATTTCGGGAG